TAGTTGCACTGAACACCATCTCTTCCGAGTTTGTTTTGAAAGCCATCACAGAACGGGAGCATCAGTTCCTCAAGGAATACTGTATGGTAATGAAGCCACTAACAGTAGCCTTAGACATACTTCAGGGAGAAGACAACTGTTTCCATGGCACACTCCTACCCACACTGGAGACATTGATGTTGAAGACCCTGGACCTGAAGAGTGGTCTGCAAATCCTCGTTGACTTTCCAGAGGCAATTGTTACAGTAAGAACTAATATATATTTTTAAACACATAATGAAAAGATACAATGTAAAATTAAATATATTTGTAAACTTACAATGTGTAATGCTGTGTGTGTGTGTGTATGGATAGTCAGTATAATATTTACTTTGTATATCATTGCAGGCTATCAAAACAAGATTTGCAGAGGTGCTGGAAAGTGAGAATGCCGTCTTGGCTGCTGTGACTCTGCCCAAGTTTAAACTACGTTGGCTGCGGATGCAGGACAGGAAGGACAAGGCCAAGGCAAGTCTGCTAGCAGAGTGCCGGAAAAGTGCTCAAAATGAAGACCAGCGAACAGGTACTACCATCACACCAGCATGCACTGAGTCAGCCATGGAGGATGAGTTCTTCTCCTTTGAGGATGAGGATGACACCTCTGCTACTGCTGAAAGCCAAGTTGCTGATTATTTCAAATCAGGAGCACAAGGGATGGACAGTCTTAATGGATTTCCACTTGTAAAGAAAATTTCACTCAAATACAATGCAGCCACTCATCTAGTGCCCCTGTGGAAAGACTGTTTAGCTTAGGGAAGCTTGTCTTCACTCCAAAGAGGAACAGACTTTCTGACCAGAAGTTTGAAAGGCTTCTACTTCTAAGATACAATCACTGGTTTAAGGGGTAAGATGGTCAGCAGATGACTGGGTTGACTGAGTGGATAAATGAATCCATCTATGCATGGATAGTTTAGTAGCTAATGTTGGGTTTGTTTAGGTAATTCAGATTTTCAGTACTGTTTTAAAAGTACTTCGTATTGTTAAAATGGTTATTTTGTTTTTAAGAAAATACTTGAAGAACCAGTTGTGTGAGGGTTTGATTTTATTTTACACTACAGAGTTAAAACACTTATTTTAACTGTTTACTTTTATTTCTAAGAAAACACTTGAACAGTACAGTGTGTACATAAAGCTAAAAACACAATTGTTATGTTATTTTGTTAAACTGTATTTTTGTAATGAAGAAAAAACTTGAAGTATAGTATGTCAACCAGTCATGTTCTGTTGAGGTGCAGTAAGTATTAAAAGTTTTGTGTTAAGTACTTGTCTTTGCAATTCTACTTTAAATTCGTAGATATATCTCAACTTAAACCAAACAAACAAACAATAGTTACTTTAGTTACTTTCCCTGGTAACTAATTACTTTTATAGGGGAGTAATTCAGTTACTAACTCAGTTACTTTTTGGGAGAAGTAACTAGTAACTATAATTAATTACTTTTTAAAAGTAACATTCCCAACACTGGTCGTGGGTAACCAAGGACAAAAGCTTCATCGATTAAAAATTTCAGAAATGCATTGTTACACGCATGCATCAGGATATTGTTACACACGACTGCCTTCATTAATTTGTAAATAAAAATGGCTTCATCTTCCTCAAGAAGTACAGTCTGCTCTGTCCCTTCTTGTAGACAGCTTCACTGTTGCATTTCCAGTCCAGTCTGTTGTCCAGGTGAACCCCAAGGTATTTATACTTCTTCACCACCTCCACTTCTTCTCCCATGATGGAAATAGTGTTGGACCTGTTCATGTTTCTCCTGAAATCTACAATCAACTCCTTTGTTTTGTTCACATTCAAGATGAGATGATTGTTTCCACACCATGCCACAAAGCGGTCCACCAGTTCCCTGTACTCAGCTTCTTGTCCATCTCTTATACAACCGACCACTGTAGAGTCATCTGAATATTTCTGCAGATGATAGGAGTCTGTTTTGCACTGGAAATCTGAGGTGTACAGAGTGAAAAGGAATGGTGAGAGTACAGTCCCCTGTGGTGCTCCTGAGCTACTAACCACCTGGTTAGACACACAACCCTTCAGTCTCACAAACTGTGGTCTGTTTGTCAGGTAGTCTTTGATCCAGGTGATTGTTGAGGCCTCCACCTGAGTCTTCTGGAGTTTCTGACAAAGCAAATCAGGCTGGACTGTGTTAAATGCACTGGAGAAATCAAAGAACATGACTCTCACAGTGCTGTCTGCCTTTTCTAGATGACAGTGAGTTTGCTGAAGCAGATGTATGATGGCATCTTCAACTCCAAGTCCACGCCGATAAGTAAACTGCAGTGGGTCCTGATATGTGCTTGTTTGTTTAGTCAGGTGGGCCAACAGGAGTCTCTCTAGGACCTTCGTGATGTGGGATGTCAGGGCAACAGGTCTCTCTAGTCACTGAGGACTGATGGGTGTTGTAACTTCCACCAATTTTATTTTTTTTACTTGTTTAGTGATTTAGTGTTAACAAAGCTAATATTTTGTTAGCGGAATATGGGTTAGCAAAGCTAACTTTTTGGTTAGCTGTTCCTACTATGGCAAAGTTGAGGTGCTGTTGACCTCAACAGTGATGTCGTCGAGCAGTCTAAAGAATATTTCTAGGATTTTCTTAATCTCACAAGCGTATCCTCCCTAAAGGAAGCCAAGTCAGGAGACTTTGGGATTGGTCTGCCCATAATCATGACTGATGGTTGCAGAGGTAGTTAAAAAGCTCTAAGGCAGCAGGACTCTGGGTATGGATGAGATTCTCTCCGAGTTCCTCAAGGCTCTGGATGTTGTTGGGCTGTCTTGGTTGACATGACTTTGCAACACTGTGTGGACATTAACAGCAGTGCACTTGCTTGGCAGACAGGTATGTTGGTCCCCTTTTCAAAAAGGTGGAGGGGAATTTAAATTTACAAGAGCACTGCTGTCCTTAGCCTCCTCAGTAAGGTTTATTCAGCAGCGCTGGAGAAGAGGGTCCAATCGATGTTGGCCTTGGATTCAGGAGGAACAAAGCAGGTTTAGTCCTGGCCATGGAACACTGAACAAGCTCTTCATCTTTGCTAGGGTCCTCAAGGTGGCGTGGTAGTTTGTTTTGTAGACTTGGAGAAGGCATTCAATCATGGTCTGTGTGGTACACTGTGGGAGGTGCTCCGTGAGTATAGGATTAGAGGTGTTGCAACAAGTCTTTCAATCCCTATACAAATGGTGTGAAGGTCTGATCCACATTGCCAGCATTATGTTTGGACCTCTTAAGGGTGAGAGTTGGACTCCACCAGGGCTGCCCATTGTTAATAATTTTGTTCATTCTGTTTATGGACAGAATTTCTATATGCAACCAGGAGGTGGAAGGGAGTCTGGTTCAGTGACCTCAAGACTTCGATTCTGCTATTTGTGGATGATGTGATACTGTTAAGAGTCATTGTGCCGTGATCTCCAGCTTTTACTGAAGTTGTTCGCAGCAGGGTTAATAGCAGCTGAGATGAGGATTGGTACCTCCAAATCTGAGGCCATGGTCCTCAGTTGGAAAAGGGTGGACTGTCCTCTCCAGGTTGTAAGCGAGGTGCTGCCTTAAGTGGAGGAGTTCAAGTATCCCAGATGGATCAGTGGATCAGATGGATGGATCAGTGCAGCTTCTTCAGTACTGTGGTGAAGGGAGAGCTGAGCTGAGCTGCAAGATGAAGCTCTCTATTTACCAGTTAGTCTACGTTTCTACCTACACCTATGGTCAAGAACTCTGGGTAATGACAGAAAGAACCAGATGACAGATAGAAGCAGTCAGTTTTCTCTGAAAGGTATCTGGGCTCTTCCTTTAAGATAGGGTGAGAAGCTCATTTATTCGGGAGAGACTTGGAGTAGAGCCACTGCTCCTCCACATCGAGAGGAACCAGTTGAGGTGATTCGGTCATCTGGTAAGCCTGGCATCTGGACACAACCCTTTAGAAGTATTCCGGGCATGTCCAACTGGAAGGAAACCCCAGGGAAGATCCACAACATGCTGGAGAGACTATGTAACTCGGCTGGCCTGGGAACGCCTTGGAGTCCTCCAGGATTAAGAGGTGTTTGTGGAAAGGGATGTCTGGGCCTCCCTGTTTAAGCTGCTGCCCCTATGACTAGACTTTGGGGCAAGTGGCAGATTATAAATGGATATTTGATTTATAACCAGTCCTTGCCTTGCTCTTTTTAATGTATTTAGGATTTTGAATCTCAAGAATCTAGTGATTTGAGGTGAGTTTGGCATGTACAATCCTTTTGAAGTCCAGTGAAACCTCTAAAGACTTGTTCCAAACCGAGTTCTCTCCTCCTGCCTAAAAACTACAATCATCTCCGCTTCACGCTGACACCCAAATAAAATCAGATGTTTCTTATAAAACACCTCATGGTGGTAAACTATCATTATCATCAGGATACTCATTAGAACAGACAATGTAAATGAGAGAATATAATGTACAACAGCCAGATTAAGACAACTTGAGGAGAACCTTTAGATCTTCTTTTCAGTCACAGAGACAGTGTTAAATAACACAAAATCTCCATATGAGTCTTCCATACACACCTGACCTGAAAACATTAATTAAAAACTGAGCTGTGTGGGGATTCTGGTGTAACATATTTCCATTTTCAAGCATTTTGCTGTCCTCTAGTGGACAAAACAACACATGCAATGGCAATGTCACTGTGATGAGAATGAAGATCAGAAATGGTCAGAATTTTGATCACATGAAAAATCCTATAACTAGAGGTGTATGGACTACTCTCTATTTGCCAGTTCCTGCAAAATCATTTAAGTGCTGCACAAAATTCAACAAAACATCCCGAGAAAAATATATTCTGATGAAACCCTTCAAACCCTAAGAGCTTTATTCACACTCACACAGCATGACCTACATTTCCCATAGAAGAAACCGTCATTCCCGCCTACGAACATTTAGTGTCTAAAATCTGTCGCTGACAGCAATGTGCACTGAAGAGTTGTGCACAAGGAGAGTTTTTACCTGACGTTTGATGAAGCTGGATGTCGTGTCTGAAGATGTGCTGCCATCGGAGCGTTTGAAGCGGCTCTTGCGTTTAGGCAACTTCCTGGGCAGCTGTGAAGAAAAAGACTCATGTTAAGGACCAAAAAAGAGGGAAAATTATGGTGGTAACAGAAAATCAGGCATAATATTTATTAGATTTGTATTTTTAAACTATTTTAAGGGCCAAAATAAGAAAAAAGAAACGTCCAAAATCTGACCTGAATAATTAAAAAAATACTTGTTAAAAAAAGACTCAAATAAATCAATAATTAAAGGCCTGACACTTCATAAAGGAATGTGATATGTGTTGGGAAAGACTCTCAACTACTACCACAACCATTTTCAGCTCAGAATCTGTTAATGGACTAAATTATAGCCATATTTGTGTTTGCAGTTTTCTTGGCTGTGGCAGCCATTTTGAACAGGCGTGAATCTATACCTTAAGCAGTTGTAAACATCCAATAATTACCCTGATGCATGCTCAATAATCCAGATAGATTAATCTAACAAGGTTGAGTCAGGTCCTCTGGATGGATTCTTCTTGTTGAAACTTTTGTCTTTTATCCAAAAGACTTCTTCAGACTGAGAAGCTGCAACAAACTCAGTCTCACCCTCTTACAATGCTTGCTGGTATCAGAGTCAGAGAGTCAGAGATTCTTTATTGTCATTCGCACCCCGTGTAGTACATGTGGTGGATCTAAATGATGTACACAGGGTCCCAGTTACATCCAACAATAAAATGTAAAAGAAAAACAATGATAACATCTAAGATATGAACTAAGAAAAACATCAACTAAAAATACACTAAGCACTAATAGCATAAAAACATTACGTCGAACAGCAGCACAAACATGAGCATGAGTCTGTGTGAGCAGATGAGCACGCATGAACAAATCAACATGAAACAGATCAGCAGCAACATGATGTGATTTTCACAGTGATTATCCTGGTTAGATATTCATGAGTCTAACAACTTCAGGGTAGAAGCTGTTCCTCAGTCTAGTGGTTTTACACTTAATGCTCCTCAACCTCCTTCCTGAGGGGAGTGGGGCAAAAAGTGTGTGCTGGGTGAGTGGGGTCCTTCGTGATGCAGGTGGCTCTCTTTCTGCATCTGGAGGTGTAGATGTCTGTGATGGTGGGGAGACTGACTCCAACAGTCTTCTGTGCAGCCTTCACCACTCTCTGCAAAGCTTTTCTTTCTGCAGCTGTGCAGCCTCCATGCCACACGTTGATGCTGGAGCACAGGATGCTCTCCACTGCACACCTGTAGAAGGAGGTGAGGACTGAGCTTCCCAGACCAGCTTGTCTCAGCTGCCTGAGGAAGTAGAGTCTCTGATGAGCTTTCTTGATCAGGCTGGTGGTGGTGTTGCTCCAGCTGAGGTTGTCATTCAGGTGCACACCCAAGTATTTGTAGCTGGAGACCATTTCCACTGCAGATCCTCTTATGTTCAGGGGAGTGTAGGTGTGTTTGTTCCTTCTGAAGTCCACAATCATCTCCTTTGTCTTCTTCACATTGATGTGAAGGTTATTCTCTTTGCACCAGCTCTCCAGGTGTTCCACCTCTTGCCTGTAGCTGGACTCATCATTGTTTGTGATGCATCCCACCACCGCTGTATCATCTGCAAAACTTAACAATGTTACAGCCTGGATGGGTAGCTGCACAATCATACGTGAGCAGAGTAAACAGAAGAGGACTCAACACACATCCCTGAGGAGAGCCAGTGCTGAGGGTTATGGTGGAGGAGGAGAAGCTGTGGATCCTCACTAACTGTGATCCGTTTGTTAAAAAGTCTAGTACCCAGTTGCAAATGGAGGGGCTTAGTCCTAGTGTGAATAATTTGTCTATCAGGGTTTGTGGGATCATGGTGTTGAAGGCAGATGTGAAGTCCACAAAGATCATATGGATGTAGGAGTCCTTCTGCTCCAGGTGGTTGAGCGCAGTGTGGACCACAGAGGAGATGGCATCCTCTGTTGATTGGTTCTCGCGGTATGCATACTGATGAGGGTCCTCGTTGATGTCGATGGTTGTTTTGATGTGGGTCATGACAAGTTTTTCAAAGCATTTAGCAACTATTGGTGTGAGGGCCACTGGCCGATAGTCATTCAGACCAGTCACTGTAGAGTTTTTTGGGACTGGGATGATGGTGGCAGTCTTCAGGCAGATGAGATCACTTAGTCTGCTGTGAATAGTAAGTGGCTATCAGAGCACTAACGTCCAGTGGTGGACAAAGTACTCAATTCTAGTACTTAAGTAAAAGTATTGATATTCATGGTCAAATCTTACTCAACTACAAGCAAAAGTTGCTCAGTCAAAACTTTACTCAAGTTAAAATACTGAAGTACTTACTTTGAAAATACTTAAGTATTCAAAAGTACATGCATTTAAAAAATACTCAAGTATTTAAATGTATAAATTATATTTTCTAATATCAGGAGATTGCTATATTGTTTTGAGTGATTTTACAGAACCTTGTAATTTTCTGAAACTACCTGATGTATTGACATGTAGAACCACTCTAACACCACATGCCTTAATAAAACTGTAAACTACAAATATATTCCTTGCATTTTACACGTTTGTGGAAAGTCATGGAAATCCTAACAGATGATGCACATTTAGTCTTTTCCTCAGCTTATGTATTCATACACCGCATTGTTTGTATGTAAAAGTGCATATATTGACAGCAACAACTTAACAAAGGAGAGGAAACAGTAACATTGATAACTGAAAGTACTGCCATATTTAACACAGAAGCTTACAAAACAATGAATGTTTGGCACAGATGAATCTAGCAAAATACCTGAATCAACAACTGGCCAACTGCATTTAAGGAAAGAAAAACATCAACAGTGGATTACAAAGCCAAAGGAGCCAAAAGGAATGAGCAACAAGAAGCTTCCTAGAAATGTAATGGAGTCGAAAGTACTTTGTACAATATTTGTCTTTGAAATGTAGTGGAGTGAAAGTCATAAGTTCCCAAAAACACAAATACAAAGTAAAGATACTCAAAAAATGTACTTCAGTACAGTATTCAAGTAAATGTACTTCACTACTGTCCACCGCTGCGAACGACCAATTGTTAGACTGATGGTCCTCCTTTTCCATGTGAACAGCTAGTTTTGGCTGTCAACAGCAAACTGGTTGATCCACTATGTGAAGGTGCCATTTATAAGACTGAGTTTGTTGTAGCTCATCAGACTGAAGAAGTCTTCTGGATAAAAAATGAAACGTTTCAAAAAGAAGAATCTGTCCAGAGGACCTGGCTTAAAATTGTTAGATTCAATAATTACTTTGAGAGTTTTGTTACAATTCATCCAATTGTTTGTGAAATTTTTACTAACAGACAGACAGAACTGACTCATCATGTTTTAAAAATCAATCTTGCACAATAGCCTGTAACAGTCATAATAAAAACTGGGGATGACTATCAGCTTCTAACAAATTTAATTTTAGCTCAGTTGTAAAACTGACTGAGGTAAAGCCATTCTTGTGTTTGCTACTATAGGGTTAGTTGTGGTGGCCATCTTGATAGGACTAAACTCCAAAGTTTATGCAGCTCTACATCAAGTTTCATTAACATTCTGTTCAGTGGTTCATAGGATATGTTGCTGACAGGAAAATAAAACTGCACACACACAAATGGGGATAAATAAAAAACTGTCTAACCGCAGATGACCCCCCCCCCCCCCCAAAAAAAAGGCTAAATTATCAAAATAACACACAAACACTACCAATCATCTACAGCAGAGGTGGGCGACATTGCTTTCCAAAGGGCTATGTCAAGACATTTAAAGCAACCAAAGCTGGAGAATTGGAAAATGTTCTTTATGACAGATAATCTATAAGACCCTTTTCAGGCTTTTTCTTGTTGTAGCAAAGTTAGCATGATTTATAAAAACATGTTTTTCCAATATCCTTTTGGAATATAAGACATATTCTGTAAATTGACTCTTGTGACAGTATATTATACATTAGTTTAACGTTATACACGTTAGCAGAAATATGCAAAACAAACATATGCATTTGCGTTTCTAAGTCTTGGGTTCAGTCTAGTTCTGGAAACAGAATGACTTAAAACTGTTTTAAAAAGGTCCAACAACGGTCAGTCAGGTCATCTGGACAGTTTCTTTTTTTTGTTTTTGTTGAGAGACGTTTCACCCTCCATCTGAAGGGCTTCATCAGTCTGAGGAGTCACAAACAAACTGTTTTCACCACTAAGCGGTACACTCCTGCAGTGGACCAACCAGTTTGCTGGTGATGAGCAGCACTAAGCGGTACATTCCTCCACTGTAGGAGTGTACCGCTTAGTGGGGAAAACAGTTTGTTTGGGACTCCTCAGACTGATGAAGCCCTTCAGATGGAGGGTGAAACGTCTCTCAACAAAATAACAAAACAAAGAAACTGTACAGAAGACCTGATTGAACATTGTTGGATTTTTAACCTGGATTATTGAGCAAGGACTTTGATGTTTTAAAAAGGTTTTGCGCAAGATGTTTAATTTAAATTTCCATAAGTCTTGTTGATAAATTGCCGTTTTTGTTTTTTATCTATCTATTTTTAAAAACAATTTGTTTTGTTTTATGGGGCAGCTGTGGCTGAGTGGTTAGAGCAGTCATCCTCCAATGTGAGAGCTGGGGGTTCGATTCCACCTGCAGTCACATGCTGACGTGTCCATGGGCAAGACATTGAACCCCTCATTGCCTCCGATGTGTGTCCCATTAGTGCATGAATGTGATAAAGCTCTGATTATTCTTTGTAGATACATAGTAGAGTGTTGTATGAATGGGTAAATGAGGGTACAGATTACCATACCATTTTATTTATAGAGCACTTAAAACAGCTACAAGGCCAACCAAAGTGCTGTACAGACAGAAACAAACTGGTAAAGCACACAACAACACATAACGTAAAATCAAAATATAGAAAACAAAATAATCGCGGATAATAACATAATGATTAGCACAGTGTGATGCATACAGGTTCAGCAACAGATCATACATTGTTGAAAGCCAGGGAATAGTAGTAGGTTTTAAAGCAGGATTTACAAACTGTGAGAGAGAGGGCCTGCCTGACAAGCAGAGGTAACTCATTCCAAAGTCTTGGGCCTGTGACAGAGAAGGTCCTGTCACCTCTGTGTTTAAGACGGGTTACTGGAACTGAGAGAAGCAACTGGTCTGCTGACCTCAGGGAATGTGGTGGGACATACGGCTGTAGCAAATCAGAGAGATGAGGGGGGGGGGGGGGGGGCAAAACTGTTCAGCGATTTGTAGACATACAGGAGTATTTTGAACTGGATTCAAAGGTGAACAAGTAACCAGTGCAGTGAGGCCAAAACTGGAGTAATGTGCTCTCTTTTGCCTGTACTGGTTAAAAATCGGGCTGCTGCATTCTGGACCAGTTGTAGTCATGCAATGGAGGTCTGACTGATACCAAACAGGAGTGAATTGCAGTAATCAAGCCTAGATGTAATGAATGCATGTATTACTGTCTCCAGGTTATTTTTGGACAATATGGGCTTCAGTTTAGACAGCCGCCTCAGCTGGAAGAAACATGATTTAACAATCATGTTTACATGACTGTTAAGTTTCAGGGAAGGGTCCATTATCACGCCCAGATTAATGACTCTTTGTTTTTCTGACAGGGTTAGAGCGGAAAGGTCGATGCAGTGGTTTGTGATCGTGTCGTTGGGAGGGAACAACATGATTTCAGACTTCTTTTCATTGAAACTTAAGAAATTTAAAGCCATCCAGTCCCTGATGTCAGCCAGTCAGTCAAGCAGAGGTTGAATAGAGCATGTACCATTGTGTCTTAGGGGGAAGTAAATTTGACAGTCATCGGCATAGAAGTGAAAGGGTATGTTGTGTTTCTGGAAAATAGCACCAAGTGGCAGCAGGTATAAGGAGAATAGGAGGGGACCCAGGATGGACCCCTGCGAAACCCCCCATTTAAGCTCTGCTGCTGCAGAACTAAAATCCTTGCTGGAGACACAAAAGGATCTGTCAGCGAGGTAGGATCTGAACCAACTGAGGGCTGACTCTGTGATGCCCACCCACTGCTCCAACCTAGCAATGAGGATCTCATGGTCGATGGTGTCAAAGGCGGCTGTGAGGTCATATAGGACGAGCAGCACAGAATCACCGGTATCTGTGAATCAGAAGATGTTAAAGACCTTCAGCAGGGCAGTTTCAGTGCTGTGGAGAGGTTTAAAGCCAGATTGGAACAGCTCTAAGATAGCGTGACCCTCCAGGAAGCACTTCAACTGGGACTCAACTATTTTCTCCAGTAGTTTAGAAACAAATAGGAGTTTGGAGACAGGCCGGAAGTTGGAAACGACTGAGGGGTCAAGGTTTTTTTTTTTTCAGGAGAGGCTGGACAGCAGCATGTTTAAAATGTATGTGGCACCACGCCAGTGGATAAACTGCTATTTACAATGGCAAGAATGGACGGACCTAGAGTAGGAAAACCCCCCTTTAGTAGTCAAGAGGGGACCACATCAAAGGGGAACCAGAAGGTTTCAAGCTGCACATGACCTGCTCTAAAGAAGATAGAGCAATGGGTTCAAAATGGTCAAATAGAGCTACAGATTGAGGTGGGATGGATGGGTCATGAGTTGGAGGGGAAATGAGAGCCCGGGTGGTCGCAATTTTTTCCGAAAAGAAATGTAAGAAGTTCTCGCACAGCTCAGTCGAGGCTTCCAGAGGTGGTGGTTCAGTGAGGTGGAGAACAGAGTTTATGGTAGAGAAGAGGACACGTGGGTTGTGAGAGTTTGAGGTTATGATATCAGAAAAGTATTTGGATTTAGCAGCTTTCACTGCTTTCTGATAACGGCACCAACTCTCTTTAAGTATTTGAAAAGAGACCTGCAGCTTGTCTTTCCTCCACTTGCACTCCGTCCTCCTACATTGCTGCCTATTGGCCTTGGTGACGTCACTCAGCCAAGGTTCTGCTCTGAGTTTTGATTTTCTAGTTTTAACAGGAGCGACATAATCCAGAGTCTTTAAGCAGACAGAGTTAAACTGGGATGTCAGCGCCTCAGTGGTAGTGAGAAACACCGGGGGCTGAATTATCATTTCAGAGTTATAAACATCTGTGAAACGTGTAGCAGTGAAGTGGTTAATGGTCCGGCTGCGACGTGCAGGACTGCACGGCTTAGGAGTTAGATGGAGGAGGGTGAACTCAAACCGGACTGGCATGTGGTCTGAAAAAACATTATCACCAATTTCCAGATTACTAACAGTCACATCACGAGTTAAAACAAGGTCCAGTGAATGCCCGCGCTCTTGGGTGGGACCGCTTACCTGCTGAGTCAGGTTACACGAGTCCAATAGATCTAAAAAGTCCTTAACCAAGGGCTTCTCCTGACAGCACACATGCATATTTAAGGGGGGAGTGGTGGCGCAGAGGTTAGAGAGGTGGGCCTGTGATCCGAAGATCGCCGGTTCACGCCCCGGCCCCGACAACATCAAAATTGTGGGTGGGGTAGGTGAAGCACCCACACCTGCCCCCACCCTCATTCGCCCCACTCTGGGCCCATGAGCAAGGCCCTTAACCCCCACCATGTGCTCCTAAACAGGTCTCTCTTGAAAATGAGTTCTCGTGGCTCAATGAGACTAACCTGGATAAATAAAGGCTAAATGAAAAAAATTTTTTAAGTCCCCAGTAATGAAAACATTATATTTTGGTGTGATTTCAGCCAAGAAACCAGAAAATTAATTTATGAAATCCTTAAATCGAGGTGGGCGGTAGACGAGTGCGCATTAAGTCGAAGGCGAATGGCAGAGTTCAAAGACGCTCAGCTCAAAGCTGGCGCGGGAAACTGGGATGGGCAGTTGTTTACAGTCAAAAGTTGATTTGAATATTGTTAATAATCCACCACTGCGCCGGCCTGATGGCCGCGGTGCGTTAAAATACAGACAGTTTGGTGGCAATAATTCTGTCAAGGCGCTGGACTCACCCGGAGACATCCAAGTCTCTGTAATGCAGAAAAAGTCCAAATCCTGCTCTTGAAAGTAGTCCCTGAGAATAAAAGTTTTGTTGGTAACAGATCTTGCGTTGACCAAACACATCCGGATACTGTCCAAAGTGGAACCAGCAGCAGTGGAGTTTGCGCACGCCAGTAGCCTCAGATTTTCAATAACAGCCCCTCCGGGTCGGCCCGTGCGGTGCACCGGCCGACAATTCCTGTTGTTTACCTGGTCCGAGCACGCGAGAAGCTGGCGATGAAAACCATGACCACCAGCTGGAGAGGAAGATGCAGCGTGCGGGGCTTTAAGCTTTACCAGCCGCCCAGCACATTTTCCCCGGCGTCCGGAGCAATATCTCCGGGCAGGCAGGTGAGGAGCGCAGCGAAGGTAAACAGGCACGTCCGCCAGCAGCGGGGGAAGGGGGGTGGGGGTATGTCCAGCGGTATGCTCATATTGATCCAAATAAACTACATCGGCAGCAGAAAATCGAAGATCCAGAAGTTGTTGTCGGTCATACACCAGCAGCGAGTTTATGTCCCAGATGAAAAACGAACAAAACACAAATAATCCAAACACTGTCAGTAGAGGTGGATTGCAAGCCATGTACATGGGCGTCATCTTACCGGAAGTCTGTGATAGATAGACCCCTCAGCTGGAAAAAAAACAGGATTTAACAATCATGTTTACATGACTGTTAAGTTTCAAGGAAGGGTCCATTATCACTCCCAGATTAGTGACTCTTTGCTTCTCTAACGAGGCTAGAGCGGAGAGGTCGATGCAGTGGTTGATGATTGTATCATTGGGAGGGAACAGCATGATTTCAGATTTCTTCTCATTAAAACAAGAAATTTAAAGCCACCCAGTCTCTGATGTCAGTCAGGCAGTCAAGCAGAGGTTGAATAGAGCATGTACCATTGTGTCTTAGGGAGAAGTAAATTTGACAGTCATCGGCGTAGAGGTGAAAGGGTATGTTTTGTTTCCGGAAAATAGCACCTAGTGGCAGCAGGTATAACGAGAATAGAAGGGGACTGAGGATGGACCCCTGCGGTACCCCCCATTTAAGTGCTGCCGCTGCTGAACTAAAATCTCGGATGGAGACAAAAAAGGATCTGTCAGCTAGGTAGGATCTAAACCAATTGAGGGCTGACCCTGTGCAGTGTAAAGCATTTTGAGTGTCTTCATAAAATAGAAAAGCGCTATATAAGTACAGTCCATTTACCATTTTGAACTAAGGATACTGAGGGCCTGATGGAGATTGGCCAAGGGCCACTTTTGGCTCTCGGGCCTTACATTGCCCACATCTGATCTACAGTAGAGGTAGTGTGGTAACACTGCAAATGTATCTGCATGCTTTGTGCTTGTATAGTCTTTTTCTGTTTAAATATATTCATACTTCCTATAACAAATAAAGAGTATTTTGTGCCCATTTTGTCACAAACGTGTCTTTGCAAAGAAGTACTGTAAACATATTTAGCAGTACAGTAATCTAGTCACAACCCTGAATGTCGAAGGCACTTTTTTCCCACAGAAACATTTATTTTAGAGCCTGACCTGCTCGATAAGACCAGTAAAACCTGCAGTCCTGCTGCTGCTGTGAGTGGCATAAAATCACAGAAATAAATAATAAAACATGAAAGCTCAGGCCTGATCTGTGATGGTGTATCTGAGGGGGTGTCAGCCTGTAGATTAAATCATATGTGAGCCCCCCCTGGCTCAAACAACCTGCTTCTTCTCTAAAGGCGGGGGAGAGTACCTGCCTGCTTCCGAACAACAAGTAGCATCGTTAGCTAATCACCAACAAACACTTTGCTTTAGGACAGCCAGTCCGTGTAGGAGGAGGGAGACAAGTCAGAGGATTTACCTGAAAATAATGCGACTGCGAGCCGGTTTCCACAGCAGACAGAGGCTCTACGGGCGATTTGGACATTTTGACTTGCACCATCTATCGGGAGCGCAGCGCACCGACATGCGTTACCAGGAGGCGGCAGAAAAACACCTAAAACATGCCGTCAGACGGAGGACACGGCTCCAAGGAGCGACGGAAACCAATCAATACACGGCCGATTATATCTGGACCGAGCTGGCAAGGAAACTGGTTCGAAACCCGCCCGGATATAAGCAGGCTTCACATCCGCTTCACATCCGAGAAGAGCAAATTGAACCGTTAACGCCGAAGCGTCACCGCACGCGCAGCCGTACAGGGCCGTGCTAAGTCAGCGGCTCTATCGGGGGTCCACCCAAACCACCCTTCACCCCCCCCCTCACAAAATTAATTCACATCCGCACACCAACACGTGACATGTTGACTTGGAAATGAGCATTGCTTTCAATAAACACAGCGTGTTTAGTCTGTGCATGATATTTGTTTGTTAAAAGGAGATTCAAATGGTTCAAACCGCAGTCAAATTCAAAGAGAGGAGCGTTGAGGTAGATCACAAACAATGGCTAATGCACAAGTAAAAGCACACATTTTATCATAAATGCACCTTTTTTTATAAGATGGGAAATGCCTGATGGTAGGTGTCAAAATGTGAGATTTTTCAGTGTTTGATTTAAATTTGGTAGCTTCTAAACAAAAGCATTCATACATGTAGGTGTTTGGAGAGTGAGTGGTTGTTTGTCTTTTTGGATGAAAGATGAAACGTTTCAGCAAAAAAAAAAAAAAAACATCCAGAGGACCTGACAACTTTGTTGGGTTGCTTGTCTTGTTTGTCTCTCTGTGTCCCTGTGATGGACTTGTGACCTGTCCAGGTTTTCCCCTGCCTCTCGCTTCCTCTCACTGATGGTTAATGTAATTCAAACTCTTTTTTTTGTTGTTGTTGTTCTTGTTGTAAAAATTTGTTCAGAAAATTGTCATCGTTTTGTTTCATGGCGTTGAAGTTGAAGATATTGCAGCTGAGCAGCTCAGTTTTAATTTTACAAGTAAAGAACGATTGTTTTCTTACAAAGGCTTTTACAAACCCATGTTTGAAAAGGTTAGGATGCTGTGTAAAATGTAAAAAGTAACAGAATGCAATGATTTGCAAATCTCATGAACTCACATTTTACTTACAGTTTAACATGGTAACAAAAAAATATCTAAAGTTTAAACTGAGAAATATGATACCGAAATTTCTCCATATTCTTCAAGTCTTCTGATAAAACTGTATGTGATGAAATATTCAATTTCTTTTCAATATGTAATTAGGAAACATGTGAAATTGATCCTCTGTTTGAAGACACTTTCTGCAGACGGGTGAACCTCGACCCATCTTTGCTGTGAGATTCAACCTCACTAAAATGTGTTTTCATACCCAGTCCTACTGACCTGTTGCCAGTAAGCCTAATTAGTAGCATAATGCTCCTCCAGCTGCCTTGGATTTGTGCGACATACTTTTACAGCTTTTTTGTATCCCAGCTTGCCTTTTTCTTAATTGTCCTCCTGTCAAAAGACCAATGTAGTGTCCGTTTCTACGTCCGTGAACTTTCTCTTGTCCGGGCCATGAATTCTGATTCGCTCAAGATAATTTTATAAAACTTCATACACATATACATCATCACTAGATGGAGTGTTGCATGCACTTTTGGTCACATCAGCTCTAAGGTCAAGGTCACACCTCAAGGTCAAAGATTATACAACGTTGTCTGGACCATCGCTATAGATTGTTGTATTGCAATATAATAGTTTGTCAATTGTAATATAAGGTCCCATAGTTTAAACATTTTATATATGTTTCATTATAGATAAAATATTTAAAAATCATTAACCCTAACCCTGCTTTTATTTATATTTTACACAATGGCCCAACTTTTTCAGAATTTGGGTTGTAGGTTTTTGTACACTGTGTTCAGAAAATAAAGGAGCTGTGCATTATCTTAACACAACTAACATATTTTTTTCTTGATCCCCGGTGAAAGTAGAGATGAAAGGACCCCATGACTACTCCTCCCCAGCAGACTGGCCTCTATTGATAGTATGCAGCGTGACTTTTCATGAGCATAATTAACCTTTACTCCAGATTTATGACGTTATTTTGTGTTTGAGTTCCAGCTCTGTATGAATCTTTTGTTGTCAGATGTAAGTGAACATATATATTTTTTCTTACTGCCTGGCACAGTTCTTCGTGGTCATGTGCATCGTGTATGTGCTGTTTGGGGCGCTCTGGCTCTTCTGGCGTGCCAGTTACTGGAGGGATGTGCTGCGGATCCAGTTCTGGATCGGGGCTGTCATCATCCTCGGCACGCTGGAGAAGGTGGTGTTCTATTCTGAATACCAGAGCATCCGTTACAAAGGACACTGAGGTTGGCCAACTAGACAAAGGTTCTTGTGTCTGACATAGTTTGTTTTGTTTAGTTTTCCATCTTGTTGTGTCTTTTTGCAGTTCTTGGGGCTGTGATTTTGCCGAGCTGCTCTCTGCACTCAAAAGATCCCTGGCTTGAATCCTGGTCCTTATATTGTCAGTCTTGGCTATGGCATTGTTAAGTATGTTGACTACCTGTACTTTAAAAAACAGTTTCTGAATATTTCAGGTCATTTGTATTTAAAAAGGATGTTTTATCTTTTTACAGACTAAACATTAGTGTTGGGCTTGCTGTTAATGCACACTGGACCTTCTCTCCCTCCTGTTGGCCAAGGCTGGGAACCACAGTTCACTGTCTGGTCGCAAACCCCCTGACCACAATGAGGTGGCAATCCCTCCTCAATAAGAAGGAAAATTAAGATATTCTTCATCCAGACTGAACAACCAACATAACATTTATCTTATTGGATGGTCATTATGCATCTTAAACTAATTTGAACCTAATAACAATAACCACAGAAAAGTTAAATTAATATTTATATATATATATATTTAAAAACACTCAAAATTTTCTCAAACCGGATTAACAAAGAGTATAAAAAGTGTTTTTTTTTTTTTTTAGATAACCAGGTCAGGAAAAAGTTTTAATTAAAAAGATATATAGCGAGGGAGAAGTCAGCTATGATAGCTTGTCTTTGACATCCTTAACATGTGTGTGTGGTGGATTCGCTGTGTTTCGGTTCAGTTAAAAAAAGACAAAAGGCGACCCAACAATGTTCAGTCAGGTCATCTGGATGGTTTATTTTTTGTGCTGAGACATATCAGCACAAACAAACAAACAACAACAACAAAAAAAGGAAACCATCCAGATGACCTGACTGAACATTGTTGGATTTGATACCTGGATCGTTGAGCACACAGCCACAGACGGAGACACCACCGTGCCACAGGACAGATTGTCTTCCGTCTTGATTGAACAGAAGACCTCCATGTTTTGAAAGTTTAATAAGGTTTTGAATTGGACTTTTTGAACTTCTTTTGGACATCGTGAATAATATATAGAGTAAAATGTGTTCCTGGAATTTGGGTTTTTATTGATGAACTTTTGATATGTACCTCATTTTGGGAGTTGATGGGTTTTTTTGTTGTTATTGACTTAAAGTTAGATTTCTGTGCAGGAGGAGTTGTTGAGCAAAACTGTTCAAGAATTCAAGATGTTTTCACAATAAAATTTAAAATGTTTCATTTGTGCAATGGAGATTTCTTTCTTTTTTTTTTTTTTTTTTTGCCAACTTGAATTTCTGATATCCATGAAAGTACTTTACTTTTACTGAAAATATTAAAATAACATGCTAAAACACACATGTAATTTGATTTACGTCCAAGCTGTATTTTTAAGTATAACGTCAGTGATTATTTACTTTTGGATAGTTCAGTTTTTTTGATTTGGAACAACTTAAAATTTTGAGTTGACTTTCCATAAAATTAAGTCAGAAGGAGTTTAATTCTTTATTTGAAATAAACTAAATTATTTGACTAAAACTGACTTAAATTTGTCAAGTTAAATAAACTTAAAAAAATTTAACTTGGATAAACTTAGTTGAATTATTTGTTACCAATTGAAACAATTAATTTAAGTTGGATAAACTATTCTCTTTTTTCAGTAAAGTAACACCCTAAAATAGCAAAAATATAAAGTATAAAAGAAGCATTATACAAGGATCCAAGATATACACTAACATATATGCTAAATAAACGTTAACGATACGTTAAAAGATATAACATATACGCTAAACACTAAAATGAAATAATTCTGTAATTAAACAGCAGCCCGAACATGAGTCTGTAGTGAGTAAATGGGTGTAAATGAATACAGCAGCATGAGATCAGCAGCATGGATAATCAGCAGCACAGATGTCACATATCATCAGTTCAAGTAGCATTATAGTGATTTTTTTTTTTCACAGTGATTATTCTGGTTAGATATTCATGAGTCTAACAGCTTCAGGGTAGAATCTGTTCCTCAGTCTAGTAGTTCTACACTTAATGCTCCTCAACCTCCTGCCTGAGGGGAGCGAGGCAAAAAGTGTGTGTACTGGGTGAGTGGGGTCCTTCATGATGCAGGTGGCCCTCTTCCTGCATCTGGAGGTGTAGATGTCTGTGATGGTGGGGAGACTGACTCCAACAGACTTCTGTGCAGCCGTCACCATTTTCTGCAGAGCTTTCCTTTCTGCAGTAAATAAATAGCTCAATAATCAATAAATATATAAATAAACTTAATAGTTTATTTAATTACAGTCTATTTAAACGTCACATTCTGTGTTTAGTGATGAGAATTTCAAACCCACTTCACTTTCAACTCTTTCTTCAAAGTGCAGACTCAGATATAAGAACAGTGATGTGGATGCCATGACAACAAAAACTGTTGTGTTCAGCCAAAGGATGCTGCAGAATCAGGTGACTTGGACTGTAACTAAAACCACAACAGTGGTGGACTGACTGAAGATGGTCTCTACATCTTTGTGACGTGGACACAATATTTGGAGCTTCTTCACAGAACTCAAAATGCAACATCCAGATGAAAATGTTTTAAAAATGGACAGGAAGCAGTCAGCTGTGGATGAAAGTGATATTAAGCAGGGAATGATCAATCTGCTTTGGGCAAAGACGCAGAAGTTTGGTGCAGATTCAG